CTTTTTAATTTATTCTTCTCTCATACAACACATCCTGATCATAGTTTCCTCTACCTCAATTCTTCCAAGTCTCTCTTTCCCTCACCTCCCTGACCCTCCAAATCCACTGCTCTCAATTTTTCTTCAGAAAAGAGTAGGCTTCCTAGGGTTATAAACCAAACACAGCATTAAAAGATGAAATAAAACTAGGCACAAACCCTCATATCAAAGCTGGATGAGGTAACCCAGTAAGAAGAAAAAGGTCCCAAGAGCAGGAGAAAGAATCAGATACTTCTACTCCCCCTACTAGAGGTCTCACAAGAACCCTAAGCTAAATAACTGTAAGACACATGCAAAGGACCTAACAGAGGCTCATGCAAGCTCTATGAGTCCCTATGAACTCTGCTTAGTTTATTCTGTGGGCTGTGTTCTCATGGTGTCCTCAACTGCTCTGGCTTCTGTGATCCTTCCTCCCCCTCTTTAGGGATTCCCTGAGTTCCACCTATTATTTGCCACTGGGTCTCTGCATCTACTTCCATCAGCTGCCAGAGGAAGTCTCTTTGATGATGATTGGTGTAGGCACTGATCTATGAGTGAGGATGGAGTTTCTGTTCCAGCCCAGTCCTGCAGCCGTTTAGTCCCAAATAAATACAAAGAGGCTTATATTCATTATAAACTGTTTGGCTGATGGCTCAGGCTTCTTATTTAGCTAGCTCTTTCTTAATTATTAACCCATTTCTATTAAACTATGTATTGCCATGAGACTGTTGCTTACCTGTAATGCTCTGGCATTTTACTCCTTTGGCAGCTACATGGCATCTCCCTGATGGCTCCTCTCTGCCTTCTTCTTCACAGCATTCCCAGTCTGGTAGCCCCACCTAAACTTCCTGCCTTACTACTGACCAATCAGCATTTATTCATCAACCAATATGAGAAACATATATTCACAACATACAGAAGGCCATCCCCTATCATTTCCTCTTTTCTGTCTAAATAAAAGGAAAGTTTGTTGTTGTTGTTGTTGTTGGTTTTTGGAGACAGGGTTTCTCTGTGTAGCTTTGGAGCCTATCCTGGCACTCGCTCTGGAGACCAGGCTGGCCTCGAACTCACAGAGATTCGCCTGCCTCTCTGCCTCCCAAGTGCTGGGATTAAAGGCATGCACCACCAATGTCCTGCAAAAGCAAAGTTTTAACTTAAATTCAGCAGTCATTTTCCTGTGGGTCCTGCTTGTCCTGTTTTGGACAGTATCAAGCAGTTCAGACAAGAACAGTTTCTTGTCCAAATGCTATTTCTGCCATGTTGAAGGCAAACTCCATAATGAGTTTCTTTCATGCCCATCTTCCTCCCTGATGTAATTAGTCTTGCCAGGAGCAGTCATGTCTCCTAGTCATGAAAAACCCTAGTAAACCACTTAAAATGCCATTTTCTGTAGGTATTTGAAAGGTTTTGAAGAATACCTATCCATTTGAAATATTTCTCTGTATATCTAGAAAACCTAATTAACAACTATAAGTTTTGACCATTATAGGTGACTGTAATGTGTATCTAATTATATGTTACATTTTTAAGTGAGCTGTATAAATACAATATCTAAACAAGAGTAGCAATATACATATAACAAAATTGACCATAAATATTTGAAAAACTCTTGGCACAATGCTCAACAGATCATTGACGTTAAGTCATACTTTTGTTATCTCTGTAAGACATAGGTAAAACAGTCTTTTTGAATTTAGTTCGTCACAATTTCTCAGAAAACGTACTTTTGAGTTCAAGAATGATTATTAGTCACTTTGTTTTTTATTTTTCCATCCATTAAGAAAAAGAGAGTGAACACAGGTTTATTAATGAAAAGTGAAAAGGAACTGAGTGGAAGGACTGAAAGTAGAGAGCTCCCATGACTCCTTTCTTTCCTAGTTGATAGATATCAGTGTCCTGTCTTCCTGTTTGCCACTGACCCATCCTCTCTCTCTCTCTTCCTTGGGGAAAAACAACCAGGCAACAACAACAACAACAAAAGCTGTCTTTTCCTCCTATTCTCTTTTCCCAAACTCCCAATTCACAAGCAGGCTCACCTTCCTTAGTCCATCCCCTCAGACTCCCAGCACGTAATCCTGCTAAGGAACAAAGGCCCTTGGGAAGTCCAATACACTGCCAAGGAAGGAAAATGTTTGCAGGTGGAAACTGTGAACTGAAGGTGACAGATATGAACAAAGGTGGAAAGAAGGGCCATGTGGAAAATGGAGACAGCCAAGGTAATTGCACAGTAGTCCCCTTCACTGGCAACAGTCTGTGGAAACTTTGCTAGGAAACTACGGTAAATCCCTCCATTTCTGTGGTCCAGTTGTCTTCTGGAAATACATGGAGAGCTGATGTGTTATTCTATGGTAACTGTACAAATTCCGTAATATCAGCTCAAGACAGTTTCAGCCTTGACTCCAGGCATACAGACATAGTTTTTACTAAGAATGTCAGTTACTACTGCTAAGGGCTATGCTATGAATGACATTAATATATCACCTTCTAACTGCTAACAATCTCACGTAGCATATCATTTCTTACTTACATTTCTTACTTACTTTTCCATAGAAAAGTATCAAGTATCATAAATGCTGTCTTTCATTTTTTATTCATAATGAGGAAAGAGAAAGCTATTGACCTAATGATTGCCACAAGTGGAAGTTCTCAGTTGTAAATGCAGGAGGAATTCTGACTTTTTGGTCTCATGCTTCTGTAATTGCTCCAGACAAAACAGCCGTGGGGAGATCTTAGTGTCTTCCCACATGAGTGTGTGTGGAACCTGTATCCTTAGGGCAGGGGCAGAGACCAAGATAGGAAGAGAGACAATGGCAAGAAAAAGCAAATTCATAGAAAGGATGCTTATAGATTATGGTGCTCTCTATGAAGGAGATAACTAGATGTAAGTCTATAAGCCTCCTGTAGTTATTTGTTCTACGAGTAAAGAGGAGACTGTGTCACTGTGTAAAAGGCAAATGTGAATTCTGGCCAGGATAGAAACTACAAAGGCTTGTGTACTGAAAGAAGCTGCTGTTATTATGGGACAAGATATTGTTATTGGAAATTAGAAAGGAAGCTCAGAGACAGATTATGAAGTATGTACAATGGGAATATCTTGGAGAGCCAGCTAACCTCACAAGAGCATTCTTTATTTTATTTTATTTTATTTTTATAATAGTAATTAGACCAGTTTTAAATTAGAAACAAGCTTCTTTTACATGTAAATCCCAGTTCCCTCTCCCTTCACTCCTCCCCTGCCTCCCCACCACCTATCTCAACCCCTTTCTGCTCCCCAGAGAGGGTGAGGCCTTCGATGGGGGAACTTTAAAGTCTGTCATATCATTTGGAGCAGTGCCTAGACCCTCCCCAGTGTGTCTAGGCTGAGAGAGTATCCCTCTATGTGGAGTGAGCTCCCAAAGTCCATTCATGTACTAGGGATAAATACTGATCCACTACCAGAGGCCCCATAGATTGCCCAGACCTCCAAACTGATATCCTCGCTCAGGCTGTCTGGAACAGTCCTATGCTGGTTTCCTAGCTATCAGTGTGAGGTCCATGAGTAACCCCTTGTTCAGGTCAGGCATTTCTGTGGGTTTCTCCAGCACAAGGGCATTCTTAACTGAATCCCAGACTCAACCCATGAGGGGATACTTTCAGCAGCCATGTTCGTACATAAACATATTTGCACAGTTTTCAAGACAAGAATTGCACTGAAACTCAGCATGTACACTCTGCAATAATTAACAAAACACATGAATCTGTTATTTATTGTGAAGTTTCACAGTTCAGTGTGAATGTGCTCAGATCACTGTAGAACCAATTGGAATGTCTGATGTGAGAGTGTGGGATGTGGGACTAAAGAAGAAACCAGATGCTACACGACCAGAGTCAGGCCAGATAAAGTCAGAGTTGTCGACAGCTAAATTCTCTCCTGCTAATTAGAGGTCCTGGGAATCTGGCTTGCAAAGCTCACAAAGGTAGTATTCTTATGATTCCTGATTGTTTAACATTTCTGGACTCTGGCATTTCTGAAATCTGGGCTACATTCTGTCTTGTTCTTCAAGATACTCTTATAAGATTGTTATTTCCTGTGTTCTGAGCTATTTTGTTGTAGCTGTTTTCAAAAAGTAAACTTAATTTATATTCTCAGCTTGCTACTGCAGATTGGGCGAGGTAAAAAAAAAAATCATCTGAAGACCTAGCCATGACGGAGAGCTGAGAGCAAAATAACACAATTTAGAGGGACAAGGGCATTTTTATGAGATTAATGGAAACTCAGGGTACTGGACAGAATAAAACAATATTAAGAGACCTGGAAAAAGCAGTACAAAAATGATGTTTGCATAGATGATGAAAACATGCTGTACAATGAGACCCTTCCATTTGCCAGACAGGAAGAAACATACTGTCCCCATTGAAGCATCTTTCAGACTGCAAATATCTTCTTATTTTTATATACAAACACAGGTGAAATGTGGGAATTTTTGAGGGCCATATTTAAAAACAACCCATTTCCTATACCCCTACCTGATTAGATTATGCATTAATTTTTTGTTGTAGTTTTGTTTTTGAGACAGGGTATCATTATATAACCCTGGCTGGCCTAAAACTCTTTTCAGTCCTCCTGCCTCTTCCTGCTAAGAGCAGGCTTTCTGGACATGTACCATCATAGCCAGCAAATTATTCATTCAGAGAGAGAGAGAGTGATAGGTCATATTTTATTGTTTGACCAGAATTAGTCCCAAATATATCCATGGATAGGCCTATTATTGATCATCAATCACACAGAAGATGAAACAATCATTACTTCTGCCTTCTTGGGGCTTTGGATTAGATGGGATGGGTGCCTGATGTAGGTACTGTGCCCAATCCTTCAATCTAGATTATATAATGATCATCATACCTGTTCGAAGTCAGGAGTTTCACTTTGCAGAGCCTTTACCTTACCACTAAGCTAAGTTGCTAATGACTAGAATGTAATAAAAGGCAAAGACAGAGGACAATTCTAATTCTAGGCTTTATTTGAGTCCCTGTCTTTTCTAGTTACATCACTCATGCCTTTAAACAGGAAACAGAAACACTTAGCTTCCCACTGGTGACAACTGATTCTGCTGCTAGAATAAGTGACTAGATGGCTCCATGCAGAGCAGGGCTGCCAAGACCAGCCTGGGTACCCCTCAAGCCTGTGCCACTGGGTTCTTCTGTAAAATATTAAACATCCATGTAAGAACTTTTGCTAGCCATGGAACATAGCAAGCCATGGAACCTAGAATCAGCCTCCTCCTCATTTCTGCCTTCCAAATGGGCATCTTGGTTATCAGTACCTGTTTTGTCCTAACTGCCAAAGAATTTGAGGAAATGTATTCTCAGGTTTCCAGCATTTGAATGATACCTACCAGGAGGATAGAACAATTTCTTGGCAATGTAGCATTCGTATGTGCTTGTCCTTTGTACTTGATGCCTGAATACTTGCTTAGCCATAGGATTCTTCATAGTGGTAAACCCGAACATGAACAGGTTGTTGGGAGTTATCAGAGATTTTCCTGGGGTTTGTCCTACATTAAATTATGGAGGAAACTGTATGTGATAATTAAAAGTGAAAAAGCCTTAACAAACATACACATAAGCAGTGCTGAGAAAGGAAATATTTAAGAGTCAGAAACCTGAAGTTGGTGTGCATTAAAAAAAAAAATCCCCTCTAGGCTCTAAATAACTGTATGTCACCTTCAACAAGATAGCTAACCTCTCCAAGTTCTTCAGGGTTTAATCCACTGTAACAAGAATAATGGTTCTCCTCACTTCCCTGCCTCTAGGGATATTGTCAGAATTAATGAGACACCAGGGTGAAAGGCTTTGCACTCTTCTCCCTCTGAGAATGCTGGAATACAAACAAAGTAATGTCGCTATGTTGTGAACTCTCTTTCTGCATGACTTAATAGCACTCAGAAAAGAGCTCACGGAGTTTTTGAAGCAGCAGCAATTACTGTAGGTGTTACATATTATAAGGCAAACTGTATCTGCCAGGAAAAACAAAGGGGAAACCAAAACTCCAGTCAGAGAAGTTCTGCTTACTCTTTAAGGCAATCAGTGGGAGGCCTGGGATAATTGCAAGTAAAATATTACTGAGCACAGAGTAGATGAAGGTAGGAGGTGAAACTACCTCATTAAAGTTGCCATCCTGAAGGAAGAGAGAAAAATGAGGCATCGGCTTCTGACACATTGCTCAAATGTTCTTAGACAAGCTGCGGAGACAAGGCAGAAGTTGGAGGTCAAATGTTTGTGCCTTTATAGGGGAACTGCTCAAAATAATTAGAACTATACAGCTGGTAATTAGAACCAACTGGAAGTTAAACCTTAATAGGTTTAAAATGTTCTCAACTATTCCTCTAATTAGCCAAAAGATTGTCTTTTAATCTACGCAAAAGGTATTTTTGCTGGTTCTGTTACCTCAATGGAAATAGAATTCTTCTGATGTTAATGGGTAGTATTACTATAAAATACCCACCTAGGAATAGAAGTAGTCCCCTAGAATGCATTTCTATCATGCACAATGAAAACACCAATCATGTGTGTGTGTGTGTGTTTGCAATCTGCATTATGTATATCGTGTATATTATACATATAATCTCAATGAGATTTCCTTTTGTTATTACATGAGGATGATTTTCTAAATAAAGCTATTCTCAGGGATAGAGAATATGATCTATTTATACTGGTGATTGTAGCACTCACTGTTCATATTTACATCATAGCTACTTTTGGACAGTCTACTTCATTTCAAGATGTTGACTGCTGAGAAAAATAACATGGAGAGGCATTAAGGTTCAGAAGGACAAAGTACAGCTGCCAAGGATGAGCCAGTGTCAAAGAGCAGATTAAAAACAGGTTAATTATGTGTCCTTATCCAAACGCCACGTGTGAGAACACACTGTTTTTTTTGTTTGTTTGTTTGTTTGGGTTTTTTTGGAGACAGGGTTTCTCTGTATTGTTTTGGAGGTTGTCCTGGAATTCACTCTGCAGACCAGGCTGGCCTTGGACTCACAGAGATCTGCCTGCCTCTGCCTCTTGAGTGCTGGCACTAAAGGTTTGCTCCACCAACGCCCAGCCAATCACTGGTTCTTTAAATGTATCCTTGTGAGTTTTTTGTTGTTGTTGTTGTTGTTGTTGTTCATAAAGTAGTTAATTCCACTTTAGAAGATGTATTTTCTATAGTTGACTTAATCATCCTCGAGTAAAGAGCCTGTGAGTTGTTTCTTGCTTCCAAAGCTTGTGAGTAAAGCTATTATTTGTGTGTGTGTGTGTGTGTGTGTGTGTGTGTGTGTGTGTGTGTGTGTGTGTGTATGTATGTGTGTTTGCCTGTGTGCACATGTGCACTAACACACGTGCCAATGATTATAATTAGGGGTGTTTACTGGAGCATGGGTTAGGAATTATTTGCCTAAGCACTGGCAATTTACCTGCTCTGACATTCCAAGAGATCTCTGCCAGTCCTGAACCTTTGCTAAGGAGAGCAATTCAGTTCATGAGGCATCAAGGTCAAAAGAGTACCCTCAGCTGCCTCACAGGGTGTTTAGGCACTCAATCCTTTTCAAATTAGCCCATTCTAAGACACTGCATATAATCAGCTAATTAAGTGCTTCAATAAAAAACTTGGAGTAGAATCAGCTTTTATATTTTGAGTGCTCTGTAACTGGGAATATTTAAGTGGGCTGCAGAAAAGACAAAAGAAAAATCATCAAGATGGTTCTTCCTGCCCCTGCTTGGAGCAGAATCTAGGGGTGCTAGTTTGGAGCACCCATATTGGATGACTGCTGTCTATTACAAAACACTTGGCTTGTTCAAGCCCGAAATAGTCCATGTTTAGACACCATGTGTGCCATTGTTCCTGCCAGGACCCAGTGCTGTGGCTGTCTATTGAATCCTATGTTGGTGAACTCCAAGTAGTACAATGTTTTTTTTTTTTTTAAATCTATTTCAAAGGTCTTTCTTATGTTGTCTGTTTTGTTGCATTTTGGCTTACAATGTCTACAAAGATTATTTAGTGGAGGACTGTAAAATACTGTTAAATGTAAAATGACTAGTTAAGAAAAATGTAAATACTGTTATTGTAAACTGTATACTAGTGTTTCCAATAACTAAGAATGCATAGATAATACAAGGCATGGTGGCACTTGCTTGTGGAAGATGAAACCAGGAGGGACAAGAATTTAAGGTCTTCCCTGGATACATAGAGTCATAATTATTCTGGGATACCTGAGATCCTGTCCCCTTAAGCAATAGCAGAGTGAGTAGAATAACCTAATTACTTATTCTCAACTACTTTACACTCTCTCTTACACTAGCATTCTTTATTTTCATCCTTCATTCACTCAAACTAAAACATTTATTGTGTCCTTATTAAATGCTAGATAATAGTCTAGATACATGGATACAAAGAGTACGCAGTTCTTATGTGGTGTTAGTCAGAGGTGGAGAGAGACATACACTAATCAAATAAGCATAGACAAATGTAAACACCACGATTCTTCAAGTATGCCCAGCAAACATTCATGAATGGGTTTGGACATGGGTAGTTGGTGTTGACTATGTGCCCCCTGTGATGCTAAGAGCCAAGAGTCCTCTTGATTAGAGTTTTCTCCTCCTCAGTGTTGACCTATTCCAACCTCACAACTGTTTGACAAATCCCATCTACTCCATGGAAGCATTTATTTCTCCATCTCTTTTTCCCTACTCTGAGATCCCCATTGTTCTAGTTTGGTTATTATTTCTGGGATAAGCACCATGACCAAATGCAACTTGGTGAGGAAAGGGGTTACACTTTAATAGTACATCATCCAGCAAAGCCATGGTTGAAGCTCAAGGCAGGAACTGAAGAGATGGAGGAATTCTGCTTTCTGGTTTGCTCATGAATAGGTTGGAGTTTGAGGTGACCAATTTGAGATGACCTGGTGAGGCATGAAAAAAATAGCAACTAGATGGATACACAACTGCATTAATGGAGCTTGGTGAGCAGTGTCATATAAAAGGGAACACATCACAGCTTATTGGTTGCCCCTTATCAGCCTTTTCTATTACCTGTGGCAGGTTCAGCATTGTACCATCTCATCTCACAAGAGACAGCGTGAGTGCAGGACAATGCTGAGAGACCACAACCAACTACCATAATTGTAGCTTAAAGCATCCACTGTGCGTTAAGACTGTCCTCTATGGACATATCTGTAGATCTGCCTACACAGAGCAAGCTGAAGCCTGAACCCCTAGAGAAGACTCATCAAACTCAGACAATAGCATGTATAGACTATGATAACATCCTTTGAGCTAAAAGTAAGCCCATATGTTCTTACACTTTTTGTCTGGATGAGGGCACATGTGATAATTGTCTTTAAGTCACTAAAGGGATGTGCTATTAGGCAGCCTTATAAAATAATGGGTATAATTTTGTTAAATAATTTTCTGGAAGTGGCTTCTGTGGTGGTGTAGAAAAAACTGGCCCCCAAAGGGAGTGGTATTATTAGGAGGTGTGGCCTTGTTGGAGTTCATAGGGTCTTTTTGGAGGAAATGTGTCACTGTGGGGCAGGCTTTGATGTCTCTTTTTCTCAAGCTTCACTCATGTGACAGTCGACTTCCTGTTGTCTCTGAGTCAAGATGTAAGGACTTCCAGCTCCAGCACCACATCTGTCTGCACACCATTATGCTCCCTGCCATAGTGATAATGGTCTGTACCTCTGAAACTGTAATTGAGCCAGTCCAATTAAATGTTTCCTTCCTAAGAGTTGATGTGGTCATGGTGTCTCTTCACCGAAATGAAACATCTAATGAAGACAGCTCTGTATGAAAATAGAATTGATTACCTTGTGAGGTACCTTGTGTGGAAATTCAGTAGAGACTTTTTGGCCTTCTGCTATGCATGGACAGAAATTCATGCATCAGCCACAAGCTTAAAATTGCCTCTTCACTTGCCTTCTGCTGCATTACACAAAGAGTATCTAAACACTCCCAGCCAAAGTCTTAAGATGCTATCTTCTTATTTTTCCATATAAAATAACTGATCTAATAAATGCAACCATGAAACATTTAAGAGACAGAGCAGAGAATGACACATGATACCCTCATCCTAGTATTAAGCTGTTGTGATGGATTCCTCAGGTTTTATGTTGAACACATTTGAAGTTGCCAAGATGGCTTTGCAGATGAAAGGAATTTTCTCCAAACCCGAGGATTTGAATTCAAATCTGGAACCAGCATGGTCGATGGAGAAAACTGGATCCCAATACTTGTCTCCTAACCTTCACGTGGGTGGTGTGACACACATCCTTCACCCCACAAACAAACAAATATTTTAAAAATTACATTGAACAGGTTGGTATGTGTCAGAAGCAGTGTTGAGACTGAATAAAAAAGTAAAAAGTCATTTATTTTTAACATTTTAGCATTTCCAAATTCTATTTTTGTGTGTTGGAAATCATAGCAGTTTAGTTCTCAACTGCATAATAAGCCAAATAATTCAGTTTGTCACTTTGCACAAAATAGCCATCATGCTTTCAAAATTTTTTTCCTTTGCTTTTGGCATGTGGCTTAATTGTATTAGGTAATGTGGAAAGATTTGGAAATAGTCGCTTCACTTTCTTTCCAATGTTGACTGTTAGAGAGCCAAACTTTAATTAAGACAAGCTCCCTAAAACAATGTCCCTTCTGCTTGAGATATAGCTTCTGGAAGGTAAATGGTTGGATGGAGTTGCTGATGACTAATATATCCTGTGATGCGTGGCATAGTACACTTAGAACAGTCAACTTTATAAACAGCTTGTTTGTGTGATTTATAAGGCTCCTTTCTGAAATATGCTTCAGTCTGAGTTCATTATTTCATCTACACAGTAGCACTGAGTGTGTGCAAAACATTGTTAGGACTCCGAAAAATGCAACAACACAGAAAACAAACCGTTTTCCTACACAGTGACTGTAGTATTTGAATAGCAAACAATGTAACTATAGAGGGCCAGAACACAAAGGCATATCTGATAAGCACATTAAGAGGAGTATAAATAAAAAAGTCATGAAATCAGAGAAGGGGACTTTAAACAAATGTTTTTGTTCTGCCTGGTGCCACCACCCTTCAGGCCCAAATAAATACACAGAGACTTTTATTAATTAGAAACTAGGCGCCGGGCATTGGTGGCACATGCCTTTAATCCCAGCACTCGGGAGGCAGGGGCAGGCCGATCTCTGTGAGTTCGAGACCATCCTGGTCTACAAGAGCTAGTTCCAGGACAGCCTCCAAAGCCACCGAGAAAGCCTGTCTTGAAAAACTAAAAAAAAAAAAAAAAAAAAAAAAAAAAAAAAAAAAAAAATGTTAGAAAAGAAACTGTTTGGCCAATGGCTCAGGCTTCTTATGGGTTAGCTCTCTCTTAATTATTAACACATAACTACTAATCTATATATTTCTATATGGCCTTATCTTACCAGAGAAGGCTCCAGCATGTTATTCCTTCAAGGACTACATGGCATCTCCTGCGGGCCTCTCTCTGCACCCTGTCCCCAGAATTCTCCTCATCTCTCATCTCGTAGCCCCGACTATACTTCCTGCCTGGAAACTGGCCAATCGGTGTTTTATTCATCAACCAATATGAGAAACATATATACAGAAAGACATACCCTTCAGTGGACCTTATTGGGAAGAGCCTGTTGAATTGGAGGAGGAAATAGCTTCGAGTAGGGCTGTCGCTAACAGTGGGGATCTCATTGTAGAGTTTACTTTTGATTGTATTGTGAAGCAGTGCCTTGGTATGTAGCTCATACTGGCCGTGAACCCACCTCTTCCTGAATTTTTCACTTATGTGCTGGAGTTACTCATGTTTGAGGAATCCAACATGGTATGATGTTAGATTTTTATGGAGTGATAAAGGGCAGAAGCAAGAACAGAATACTCTGTAGTGATTAGGTGTACTCAGCTGGGTTTCTTATGGAGGGACCCTGTGAGTCAAGTCTCCTGGCAGATCAAGCACATGCTCGAAACAGTAGTGTAGGGTCCTTGACTTGAATATATAGAAGAGGATGATGGAAACATTCTGAGAATTGTATCCAGAGGGAGAGACATGAGACATGGGGAACTATAAGGAGGATACTGATGCTGTATGAGCATGGGGATCAGCATCACAGGCCTGGAACTGTGTGAAGGTTAGTAGAAAGATTTAATCACAGGATGCAGTGCTGGGGAGGTGGGTGAGGGAGGAGAATATAGGGTCATGTAAGCAAAGCGACAGACACAAAAATCAACAAATTAGTAGGTGGCATTCCTATGTGCTGACAGCATCATGTGGAAGAAGAATTTAAAAACAATTCCATTCATGACTTTTTTTTCAAAAACAGAACAAAAACCTAGGAATAAAGCTAACTATGGGAGTGAAGGACCACCAAGATAAAATTGTATCATTTTCATTTTTGTTTTATTTTATTCTGTCTGTATGTGTGCATGTGCACATGAACACAAGAGATAAAGTGACAGCCAGAAAAAGGGTGTGGGGGGGAGACAGAGAGAAAGAGAGAGAGAGAAGGAGAGAGAGTGAGAGAAAGAGAGAGAGTGAGAGAAAGAGAGTACAAGAAGAGAGAAGACAGATTTTTAGCTAGTCTCCCCTTTGTTGCTGTTTGTTGTGCTAATACTCCATACTAGCTGACCAGCAAGCTTCTGGGTGATTCTCTTGTCTCTGCCTCACCTTCCTGTAGGAGTGCTGGGATACCAAAACCAGCTTTTTACTGGCATCCAGGATCAAATGTGAGTTGTCAGGGAGTTTTGCCTTCTGAGCCATCTTCCTTGACCTACAGGGAAAACATTAATACTCCGAAGAAAATAATTTACGTTAATGGTTGAAACCTCCACCCCTGGGCCTTGGGTTAGCACGGTTAATATGAAAATGCTTATGTTTCTAACTAAAGGTGACCTACAGATTCAACACAATACCCATCAAAATTCTAACTTTATTCACAAACATAGGAAAAAATCTAAAATTCAAAACAGTAGAAAAGACCACTAGTATCTAAAGCATTCTTAAGCAAAAAGACAATAGAATAATAGCTGAGGTATTGTAACATCTAATCTCAAACTATACTACAGAGCTACAGTAGCAAAACCAGCATGGCAATGGGACAAAAGCAGAAGTGTAGACCAATAGGACAGAACACAGCATCCTGCAGATACGATAAAAAACAAAAAACAGACATTGTAGAAAAGACATCGTCTCCTATAAACAGTGCTGAGAAAACTGAATTTTCTACATGCAGAAGAGTGAAATGAGACCCTTATTTCTTATGTTATAAAAGTCAATTTAAAAAGAACTAAAGGCCTTACTATAAGACTGAAATGCCGAAACTGTTGGAGGAAAACAAATAAAATATTTCAAGATGCAGGCATAGGCCAGGATGTTCTGAAAAGGACTAAAAAAAAATCTCATAAAATGATAATAAGAATTGGTAAATGCTTCGCATGAAATGAAGACTTACTGGACTGAAAAGGCAGTAATTCTTTGAGGGGAGGACAAACCTTGCAAATTTGAGAAAGTTTTTGCTCGCTCTACCTTCTGACAGGGAATTACTGTCTAGAATGTATAAAGAGCCTTAAAAACTAAGTAAAAACTCTGATTAATCCAATCAATAACTGCACTAATAAAATGAGCAGGCAGCTTTTAAAGGATGAAGTACAAATGGCCATACAACATGTCATCAGAGAAAGGCTAATTAAGATGACATTGCGTATCCATCTCACTCCAGTCAGAATAGCTATTGTTAAGAAAACAAAACCCGACAAATGTTGGTGAGAATGTAGATGGGAACATAAATTAGTGCAGGCCATGTGGAAATCAGTATGAAAGTTCCTCTTCAGAAAACTTACCACAACCACCACCTGACCCAGCTATTCCACTCTGAGTTTCTATCTGATCCACTCTAAGTCAGTGTGTATTGGAACATAGCACACACTGTGATCACAGATCTCCAGAGAAACCATTAATGGTAAGCACACAGGACTGTCTTTCCAACAGGAAAGATGAAGAACCTGTTCTTCCATCCAGAAAGCCGAGAACTGGAAGTGATTAACAGCCTGGTGATTCATGTTATCTCTTGGGCCAGGCCATATCAAGCTCTTACAATCAGGACTGGACATGGCTAGTAATCTAAATGAATCTGATAGCCAGAGGCTCACACAGTCTCCCACAACCAGGACTAGAGGTGGCTAAGAGCCCAAATGACCTCTATGTTATCTGTATGACAGAGACCAGGCCTCTTAAGCTAGTACAGGTAGCCTATCTCTAGAACTCATCTTCTAGGAGGAAATGACATGTACCCTGATTTGAATTTCAATGTAATTACACTTCCTTGTGCACTGATGATTGTATTACACTAGGAAACTGTTTTTCCAAACTATATGGGGCTTAAATACACTGGGAATAAACTGCATGTTATTAGACTTCCCAAAGTCTGATTCAGGTTAATGAAGTCATTCTGCACCGGCTTTTCATTCTTACCTGTTCAAGTGGTTTGCTTCTCTGTATGTCACCTGCAGGCACCTCCTCAAGTGTGCCACAGAGCTACCTGCACATTCATGTTTCTTGGAATCAGACTAGGTGTCTGTCAACAGATCAGTGGATAAAGAAAATGTGGTGTATATGTACAGTGGAGTTTAGCCAACCATAAGGAAGAATGAAATTATGCAATTTTTATGAAAACTGTTACAACTGGTGATCATCACATTGAGTGAAATGAGAATTTTCTCCCATATATTGATCCTAGATTTAAGATGTATATATTTACTTATGTGTATGTATAGGACAGGAAAGCAGAAGAGAGAGAAGGGACTGTCTAGGAGGAATGATGACTAAGAAGGGGAGAAAAGGGAGTGGGTTGTTGTTGAATATGGTCAAATCATATGATTTGAGAAGACAATGTAAACAACTTTATGAAACTCATCCCTAAGTACCATGAATATATGGCAGTAAAAATAAATAATGCTTACGCAATCCGTAAATATGTTAACAGAAATAAGGCAAAAGTTTGTTTTAGATGTTTGAATTTAGGTGCCTTCATTTTGAGACACTAGAAGTGATTCAGGGAAGAAAATTCAGAAGAGAAGAAATGTTACATATAGGCACAAGGAGACTCCGGCTTGGTTGATCCCCACCACACATTTGGAAAAATTTCCTCATTTCCCTTGGCTTAGGGTCCTTATCTGTAGAATGGAGATGGCCGTGGTTCTGAAATATAATTGTTTGTGTGGATTAAATGAAATCGTGTGGATAAAGCTCCCTCAGAGTGTTGTGGCTCATTGGCAGTTAGCAAGTTTTGTTTTCAATAGTATTGCTAGTGAGCAGGGAGAAATCGAAGTTTAGAACTCACAAATGAAGGTAGCAGTCTCAGTATAGTTTTGCCTGGTATTTGTGAAGCAAGGCTGGTTCAAGTCACTTCCATGCATTGAACCTTGTGGAAGTTTGCACATTTAGGACACAGCAAACAAGATCTTTTAAAGGTGTTGGAGAATGAGGCACAGGAGCCATGGGAGGAAAGCTGTTAGAGCTAATGACTTAACACTGTGTGTTCTAAAGTTGCTAACACAGTAAATTGATAAAGTTCTCAGCTCCAAATATGCTCAACAGTTGAAGAGAAAGGTGTTGCTGAGCATAATCTAGTCAGTGCCCATTGCATTCTAAAATGCACCACTTTGTTTTCCATAACAATAAAACAAAAAACAAAATGAATAAAAGTAAAAGCACATTAATTATCCTAATTAGGGCTATTATTGCTGTGATAACACAATATGACCAAAAGCAACTTGGGGAGGAAATGGTTGATTTGTCTCTTGCTTCCGAGTAACTGTTTATCACTGAAAGAAGCCAGGACAGGAAGTCAAACGGGGCAGGAACCTAGAGGCAGTAGCTGATGCAGAGACCATGGAGGACTGTTGCTTACTGGCTTATTCCTCATGGCTTGCTTAGTCTGCTTTCTTAAAGAATCCAGAACTGCCAGCCCAGGGGTGGCTTTCAGCCACTGTGGGCTGGGCCCTCCCACATCAATTACTAATTAAGAAAATGCTCTACAGGCTTGCCACCCACCAGATCTTAGAGAGACATTTTCTCAATCAATGTTCCCTCCTCTAATATGACGATAGCTTCTGTCAAGTTAACATAAAACTAGCCAACGCAGGAAGGATGGCTTACTTGATAGAAATTACGTTGCAAACTTGGTAGTGTTTACGCCATATCTGTGATTAAATTTTTTCAGAAAAATTAAACCACTAAATACTATGTAGTACATTTCAAAAAGAACTGGGAAACAGGGTCCCTCACATTTTGCCAAAATCTCAAGGAGGAAGAGTTGATAACAGAAGATATTCAGGTCACTGATATTGTTGGAAGGCATTTCTGTCAGATGAGCATTTCTGGAATTTTGCCTTTGGCAAGACTTTTCTGGAAGTGCTTAATTGGTGACATGCCATACCATTGTATCACTGATGCTTCTCATTCTTAACCTTATACCTAGAAATCTTATGCATTCAAGATAAACTATATTATACTTTGGGAATTTCTAAAATTTTCCACACATCTTCAGAATTTATCAGAGACCCATTACAGTAGCCATTGTTCCTCTGTTTAAAGCAGATGTAATACTAATACTTTCAAATTGAATGGTAATTTTAATTTTGATTCAGGCTTACTTGGTTAATTTGTTATTCCAGCTATTTTATCCTTACAACTATCTTACTGTTGAGTAGCATTGTTAGCCTCCTGTGGTA